AATTCATTAGATATTGTTGTCAATAATGCTGGTATCGTATATAACGCACCTGCAGAAGAAATGTCATTGAAGGAATGGAAACAGGTAATCGATGTTAATTTGACTGGTGTGTTTCTTGTTTCACAAGTAGCTGGTCGACAAATGATAAAACAAAAAAGTGGTAATATTATTAATATTGCATCGATGTCTGGAAGTATTGCCAATTTTCCACAACCACAATGTGCTTACAATGCATCAAAAGCCGGCGTTATATTATTAACAAAATCTCTTGCCTCTGAATGGGTACAACATAATATTCGTGTTAATTCTATATCACCTGGTTATATGAATACACATTTGACAGCTAAAGGACTGCAAAATCCTGATTATGCTCAACATTGGCGAACTTTGACACCAATGCATCGTGTTGGTGAACCGCATGAGCTTACCGGTTTAGTTGTTTTTTTAGCATCAGATGCATCCAGTTATGTAACTGGTAGTGATATTCTAATCGATGGTGGATACACTATGCGTTAAACGTTCACTTTTAAGAAAGTGTTGTATGAAAAGACTCTATGCTAATACAAACTTACTATCAGTATTGCTATCTTAAATAAATAAAATCCTTAGATAAACTTTTTTTTTGCATACTTGACCTGGATAGACTTCAAGATTTGTCCATAGCACATGACTTTCTTGCTCAAGAAACTCCAGAAACTCATGCAAATGAGCAAGGAGGTTTCACTAGGAATGCATTCTGAAAGATGGTATCGTGTTCTGAAAAATAAATTTAGTCTGAGTTTCGCAATATCAAAAATTCGCTCGACATGAAGAAATACAATGAAAATTTTGTTTGTTTCGTGTTGATTCAGTTCATCATCCAGGCAGAATTGTTCTTGAATAGACAGAATATTTTCTTCTCAACTTCGACACATTGCACTATGAGATCGTCGAAGATTTCGACGGATCACTATTGTTATTGACACTAAGTACATTGTCGACAATGCAGAGATTTGGTCATAATGGCCATCAGACAGTGACATTGAGAATCGCTCACTAGGATGATGAGCATCGATTAACGTAACGAATCTTCAATGACCCGTTGCTGACAATAGATATTTTTACATTGCTATTCAAGTTTGGATGACAGTAACATTTGCACAAGTTCAGTTGAAAAATCAAATTGAACATCGACGTTGAACGAAACAATCATACATATTTTCACGTTTGCCCCATGCTGATCCATGTCAATTCAATCTCTTTTGCTCTCACCACATTCAAACTCGAAAAGAACAAACAGGGTGTGGATGTTGGTGTGGGATATGAAGACAATATCCACACCTACACCTATACCCTCTATTCGATTGATTTCATCCAAAATCATACGTGCTAAATATGATTTTACTCGAGGAATATCATTGGCAGAGCAAGCTTCATAAAAATCACTTGTTTCTCGTGATGATTTAGCTATTGATAGCATAAAATGCTTTTCTCTGCCCCTTGATAAAGATATACAATCGGTTTAGTTACTATTTTCTTTAAAACGAACCAATATTGTAAAAATTTTGTTTGAAATTGGTTGGATGTGGGTGTGTGACTTCTTTTCATTCTCATCTTCATACACAACCGAAGGTAAAGTCCCATGCATTCACAGCCACTCGCCCACATCCTCACGACACCCTTCAAAAATTGAAATCGAATTTCTTCTGAGAATCAAAATCATTGCTGAATGTTGTTTTATGAGACATCATTTTCATTATCTCAGTCAAAACGATCTTAGATAATTGAAAAACAATTAGCAAGATAATTTTCTATCGAATGTGATCTAATTTAATAGAAATAATGTTTTATTGAGTTATTCGATTATTCTCGATCTAATTACTGGTTGGATTTATTGATCATTGTTAAGAATATTGAATCATTAAGGCTCTACTTCCTCAAAAAAAAAGTTAGCTTTCGTCAAAAATATAAAAATTGACATAATTATATGGGAAGATAGCCCAAAGTCTGCCCTTTCAAAAATGATATAATTTTTTATTTGTTATATCGTTTTTCTCAAACATTTTTTTCTGATTTTTGTCACTCTCTCCTCGAAAAATAAGCTGTTTTTAGAAAAATCGGAAAATCTTTTCCGATGTTTTTTCGTTGTATGTTCTGTTTGATCGCGCGTCCAAGAATTCTCGAAGAAGCTTCATCATAACCAATAGATTTCTTTTTGTTTGAAAGAGCATGTCAAGATGCAGGACATAGCAGAGTCTTTTTTTTCGATTTATATTTTAGTAATCCTATATAAGAGAGTACTTTTATGATAAGAGTGGTATTTTTTAAGAGTTTTCAGAGGGATTGAATTTATCATTTCTGTTTTCCTCCTTGAAAAGTGAGAATTTGAAAAAAGAATTCTGTCATGTCCCACATCCTGATATGCTCTTGCAAACAAAAAAATGTGAAATTTGGAAAACGCAGATTCAAAGAGAATTTTGAGTTTTCAAATAAGCTATCTTTGACCTTTGTTTGATGAATATCTTTCGAAAACATGATGCTATCAGGCTGAAAATTTCGACATAGTCTTTTCACTACAATCTCAAAGTATTCAGGAATATTTCATATAATTTGTATGTTCCTAGGACAAGATTAATTTTTGATGGGGTGTAGGTGTGAATGTAGTACATTTATTTACTCACACCACACACTTAATGATCTTCGCGCACTTTCGCACGAGTATATGCAAGAGATAGCACATTTTTTCTCTTTCTCACCTTTTTGTTCTGTTACGCTCTGCGCGCACTTTTAGACTTCTCTCGTCAGCACACATCAACTGCTACGAACACGTCTTTTTTTTTCGACTTTTACATATAAATGCAAGCACATCATCTATCTTCTTTCATTCATTTCTTTTCTTTGCATAGACTATCATGGCAGCGATAACTTTATTCTTATTTACAATCTTTCTTATTTTGTGCACTTACATTGTTCTGCATATCTTCCATCGTTTTTCGTATTTTAAACAACGAAACATCCCTACCCCTACGCTACCTTCAATCTTCTACGGTCATTCGAAACTTCTTTGGTCAGCTTCTTCCTATTCCAAGAAGCTCAGTGGATGGACGAAAGCGCTTGGATCCATATATGGTATCTTTGAAGGTGAATCATCATCCGATAGAACTTCATTTAATATAATCCTCTCTCGATTTCACTTTAGGCACAAGTCCTGTCTATATTGTATCCGATCCAGCTTTCTTACAAGAAGTTTTCGTAACTCAATTTGGAAAATTTCATGCAAAGCGTGGTGCTCTTCCATTTTTTAGTACTGTCCTCGGCAAGAATTGGCGTGGCGTTGGCACATCCAATGGAAGTAAGGAAAACCATGAAGATTCTTTTATAATAGAATTGTCATCATTTAATTCTTTTTGCTTGAATTATTGATCATTGGAAACGACAACGACATGCACTTAATCCAGCATTTACATCGGGCAAACTACGAAGTCTTGTACCAATCATGGTAAAATGCATTCAACTTTTTATGAACAAATTAGATGAAAACCAAAAAGATGAAAACAGCATTGAGCTTGATATTTCTCCTCGATTCAGGAGACTGACGATGGACGTTATTGGCAAGTAGAAAATTTTTGTTTTTATTAAAAGGTGTTCAACTGTGCAAAACAAGTTGAATCAGCTTTATCGATATTTATCCTTTGGTAGGCAGAACATTTCGATTCAATAGAATAGACTACATTTTTTGCATCAATGTCTATAGTAACGCATAATTAACGTTGAAATGTAATAGCTCATTCATCACAAGAAAAACATAACTGATGGTGTTCTTGATGAATCTTCGAAAGGTTACTTTCTCATCCGTTTTTCGTCGATAAGATGTTTAAAAGAATAAAAATTTAAAACATCTGAGGCACAATTCTTATTATAGATCAGTCATAATTGTTTATACAAGATTGTAGAGCTACAGAAGAACAGAACATATTCCTACAAGTTTTACTTCCTTCCTTTTCCAAAACGATTTTTTTTATAAAACAGTAATTAATGTTTGACATCATCGATGGAGATGCAGTCGAAAAGAATGTCCCTAAATAAAAGTCGACATTTTTTGACTTATTCGAACTTAAATTGTAGATCATGAAAAGGATCGGAAAGAACACGGCGAAAAAATCTATGAAGATATACTGTAAAGTGTTCATACTTGCTAAAAAGCATCAGGGTGAGGATGTCGCGAGCTAGAACTTCGTATTGAAGAAGTTCAATAGTATGTTTAGATGTTTGCAGATGAGATATTTTTTACCTTTAATCAACATAAAAAAGTGAGCTTACTCTCGATTATGTTGAACAGGTCGAACTGCCTTCGGAATCGAAATGGGGATACAAAACGATGAATCAAACATCTTTATGGTCAAAGCGAATCAAATTACCAAGGAAAACTTCGAACGATCTCTTCTAGCAAGATTGAATCGTCTCTTTCCCTTTCTCGCACCCATTTGGGTTGCACTCTGTCAATTAAAGAGCAAAATAAATCCAGAATACATACCTGCGAGTCTCTGGCTTGCGAACAATGTCTTTTCACTCGTTAGAGAACGAGTTGAAGGCCGAGAGGCTGGAAAACGCATGGATTTGCTGCAACTGATGATCGATGCCTCAAAATCAGAAAAGGTAAGCAAAGACATTGTTCGTCTCTTATATATTCAGTAATAGAATGCTTTCAAGTAATTCGACAATGAACGAAGAATGTTTTATTCCTAACTATCTCTCAATTTTTTTTTTCGCCAATAATTCATTTGGCATGAAGACATTTAAAGCCCCAGAATAGAAGAACATGATCTTATTCAGTGTCTCGGCAGATTGTCACTTTTTTGGTCGCCTTCTATTGATTGGTCCCTTTTTTCGCCAATCATTAAGGAAACATTCCTAATATCCATGCTACGCAGAGTTTCGCTATGGTAAACGAGAAAAAAAATCAGAAAGTCAGGGCATAGCGTGGACTGTAGCGACCTCTGCTGCGATATATGCTATAACAATTAATTAGTACTCAGATCGAACTTTACGCCGACCAGAAACGGCCGTAAACGATGCCCAATAATATCCCGATGCCGTCGTACCTGATTCTACACGAACCAAAACTCTATGTGGGCGAATGATTAGAATAATCATAAGCGACTGCACACATCCATTTTTGTTATCCTGAACGCAGAACTCAGAACCGAAAACGATTCGTGTTTCATATATTTGGTAGTGAGTCCATTCTGATGCAGCGGCTGCAGTAGTTGTTCTTCAGCGACGAGCATCAAAATGTGCAGGAACCAAAAACTAACATGGGCCAACTAAAGACACACATCAAGCACCAATAAATACCCGAATCTGTAACAAACTTCGAAGGTCATAACGCTGAAGAGCCCGCAAAAAGCTAAGCAACCACACTACACAAACATGATGAATCAAGAACAGAAACACGCAACGAACAACAACATCGCCGATAACACAAACCATCTGCCTGCAAACGAAGAAGCAAGCAAATACAAAACCCAAAGACGAAC